TCCATTTCCACAATGTGTCTGTGCTTGCGTTCTGATACACCGTTTTGCTCGAGAGTATAGGGACAGGCAATGCGGTGTTGGATACCGTTGGTACGAAGGAAATGAGTAAGCTGAGTATTGACATACTCACCGCCACCATCGGATTGAAACTTTTTAATTTTGGAAGATAACGCACATTCAATGAATAGTTTAAATTGAATAAAAACAGCGGTAACTTCATTCTTGTTTCGTAAAGAAAAAATTCACGTGTAACGTGAGTAATCGTCAATAAAAATCACATAGTATAAGAAACCAGAATGCGAAAGTATAGGAGCATGACCCCATAAATCGGAATGAATTAAAGCAAGCGCAGATTGTTCGCGGTTAGGAGAATTTTCAAAAGACAGCTTGTGACCTTTGTTCATATGACAAGAATGACAAGTTACATTTGTCTTATTTATACGTAATTCAGGATTACAACCAGCAATACGATTTAACAACTGCTGATTAGGATGCCCCAGACGGACATGCCAGATAGATGGGCTTCGCTTGCTGGTGTAGAGAGCACTGTGCGGAGAGGCAGCTTCAGGGATCGAGATGGGATATAACCCATTCTTGCACGGGCCTTTAAGAAGAATTTGCTGAGTCGTCAAGTCCTTCAAGATAAATCCGTTAGGTTTAAACATAATAGAAATGTTGTTATCACGAGTTAACTGTGAGATAGAAAGTAAGTTATATTGCAGTGCCGGTGTGTGAAGAATGTGAGACAGAGTTAGCTTACGAGAGGGAGTCGGTAGCAAGCCTTTGCCGAAATGAGCTCTGCTAACGTTGCTCCCGTCGCCGATGGTGATGCTATCGGACCCTTGATATGGATTCGATATCGAGAGATTCTCCAGAGATTTAGTCATATGTGATGACGCGCCGGAATCAAGATACCAGCAGTCATTGGAGGCAGAATTTTGAATCAGCAGCCAGAGCTTTCGGAGATGGCTTTGGAGGGTTGGGAACATACTGAGCATTGAGACGATGCCAACAATCGGAAGCAAGATGTCCACGTTTGAGACATATCTGGCAGGTGACCGGAGGCTGTGTAGAACAAGTGCTAGAGCCGCTGAAACGACCTCGACCGCGACGGCTGCGACCTCTGGAAGAGAACAGAGCAGTATCCGGGATAGTTGGGTTCGCGAAACGAGCGGCATCGGAAGCAATATGAATTTCTTCACTGATGAGTAAAGAATAAAGTTGATCAAGATTTAAAGAATTGGGTCATGGGTGATAGTCGTCTTTTAATGACTGATAAGCCAGCAGGAAGAACCATTCAAAATGTGATGAATTTAACATCTTCAGAATCATTTGGAGCCGGCAGCCAGCTATTTGATCAACCAACGATTTTATAATTCGCTTAAGATACTAAAGCATGGAGGAGTTCTTTAAGAGGTATGAGAGAGCTCTATCTTGGAAGTTGAATGACCTTCTGATCGATTTGGTGGATTGGAAACGAGTTTGAAGACGGTCCAAATAGCCGGATGAAGATTCAAGATCAATGACAACGGTACACGAAGCAGAGATTATGGTAGCTATGGCTTGCCGCAAGATCTTGATCATTGCGAAGCATTGGCAGATAAAGGGATTTGAGGAGGTAGAGCTAGTGGTCCGAAACAAGAAATTTGTGGGAATTGGATGGTTGGGATCGGATAGGATTCAAAAAACTATTAGGCACGACAAACTCTTGAGGATTTGGATTTTCCAAAGAGGTATAGTTATCCGGTGAAAGAGGGTTTGGACAATATTCTTGCAGTTAGAGAGGATGAATTTGAGAGAAGAAGAAGGAACCGGATGAGCCGAAGTAGTCGCTTCTGTCGTTGCCGACTGGGAGGTGGTGGAGGACGCCATGGTCGCTCGAAATCGTTCAAGCCACGTCTGATACCATGTAGAACTCAAGAGAGCAGAACATGCGTACATGACAGAGAAGTAGGATAACCGAGAAAAACGAAAAGTAATTATTTGATAATTCATATGTTTTAAGTTAACATAAGACACTATTTATAAGTGTTATCCTACCAGCTACACATAAGGAAACATAAGTGGTTATCAGAATTGAAATGTAAGTATATGAGTATTCTAATTGTTGGGAGGACGCAATAAAAATTCCAATTTTTTTGTACACTCTACTGAACCTTATTTTACAATCTGATCATCTCATATAGCAATGGAAACTTGTCATGAGCTTTTTTGTTTTACAAATAGTTGTGATTGAACCATGAATCATCAACCATATTATTATATCCATGCATATATCAAATATGCAATGACTCGCATGAAAAATTAAGTTATAATATATATATATATATATATATATATTCTATTCATTATTAAGCTATGAGAGTTTTCATAAGAGAAATAGAAAAAAAGCGGGAGGATATAGAGAAAAAAAAAAACAAAAGATGTAGAGGCCATAAAGTTTATTTCATCTATCAAGCTAGTTGAGAATGTTATCTACCTGAAGGTAAGCTATTATTTCAGCTTTTAATTTTATTATTTTTATATAAGTTTTGATATTTTATTTGGCTTGATTTTATACAAACTTTGATCTAGGAAGATTTTAAATAATTTCAGTGTACTTTTTGATATATCATAGAGATAATCATAATTGCCATATTGACATATGCATATCAAATTTTTCACCAAGCATTTCATCTTATGTGATACTTTATATATTTTAGAAAGCATATAGATACCAATCAAAATTCTTATAAAAATAATAACAAAATTCAAAATAATGATGTGAAAATTGCATATAAATAATTCAATAATTTATGATTGTTGAATTATGTACTCTAAGTTATGAAGTTATCTCATATATACAAAATCTTTATAATTTTCTATATAACTTGTTAGATAATGCCTTAAGAAAGAAGTCCACTATGATGATGACTTGCATGATTGCATTTGAAAAAGCTTTGATTCTAGAAATGAATAAGTTGGAGCTAGAAGTTATTTTTGTGAGTAATATTGATTAACTGAGTATTTTCATATATGATTATTTAGGCTTTTTTACATGTGTGAATTCGAGAGACTCAGAAGTCGAATGATGTATATGTAAGATTCGCTAATCATATTAAGTCTGGAAAGTACATGCAGATGATTGTGGTGTGTTGACTTGTGGTAGTTGACTTAGGGTTCCTACTAATTGTGGAATGATGAGAGAAATATTATATGAGGCTCATTATTCTGGATACAAGAATTACCCAATGAGTGGAAAGATGAATCATGATTTAAAGTTGTTGTTTTGCTGGCCTAAGATGAAGTGCGAGACGGAGTTTGTTTCGAGTTGAGAGACCAATCAAATGGTGAAAGTAGAGCATCAAAGTTCTAATGTTTTATTGTTGCATTTAGCAATTCCTAAATGAAAGGGGAGAAGGATATGATTTATTTTGCCATGAGACTTTTAAGATCTAAAAGGATTAGAATGAACTAAGGGCGTGATTGATTGACCAGTAAAGTCAACATATTTTCTTCCTATGATGTAGATGAACTTTGTTGATAACACTATATTATATTTCTATTTCTAATTTGTAGATGAAAAATCCAATATAAAAAAAGAGGGACTATTAATTTTAAAAGAATATTAAAAAACTTATAATGCTTTAAGAAAAGGGCAATAGAAATATATTCAAGATGTTAAAGCAATTTCGCTTAAGCAAATGGAGGTTAAGAAAACTAAAAAATAAGAATTGGAGAAGTGATGAGGTTTTGAGAGGAAGAAAGGGCAAAGAATGGGCCAAGAAGGGCTTTAAATAGAAGAAAATAGGTTTGTAAGAGGAAGCCGGTGGGCAACTAATAATTCATCAACCTTTCGACCTAAAAATAGTTAATTAGAGCTAGACGTCAGTTAAACTAGCATTTTGATCTATATAAAGACTTCATTTGGGACAGCTTTTTGAATGTTTTTAAAACAACTTTCTAATATAAAATTTTTTGAACTAGAATTTTTTATACTAAAAGGTTGTTTTATAAAGCAATAAGAAGGCTGCCAGCCTGCCACAAATGAAGCATAAGTCAAATTCATATGCATGTCACATTAGGTGTGTAAACGAGTTGAGTCGAGCTCGAGTCAGGGTGTATTGGAGCGGAGCTCGGCTGCCAAAAATCGAGCTCGAACTCGAGTCCAGCTCAAGCTCGACTCAGCAAGGGAAAATGAACTCATCGATCCGTAGTTCTGGCCTGTTAACGAGCCCCGAGTCTGTGGCAGCCTCCTACGTCATTAGCAACACCTGCGTCATCCGCGCCCGCATCGTTCGTGTTTGCATATGACAGGGGGTAGCGTCTACGTCGTTCGAATCTTCCCGCAAACAAGACATCCAACAGCACTTCACCGCGACAAATCTCCGACTAAATGCTCCTCTTCCCTGCCTCGCCTTCCCAAACAAGACGAAGCAGCTGATTCCACCCACAATCAGACATCCGACGACACTTCACCTCGAATCTCACCCAAAATCAATCCCAATCTCACACATTGGTCTCGAGCTTGATCCCTACGCTCCGGACGCATATTCCCGCAGGTGATTGCCCGTGTTTTCATTTTCCCGCCGACTGAAGACCCGCGATTTCAATTTTCCCACCTCAGTTACGCGAGCTACTCGATAAGCTCGTGAGTCGAGTAGCAGGGTGTTCGAACTCGAGCTTGTTTAGCCATCGAGCTCAAAACCGTGTTTGAACTCAACTCGCGAGCTCGATAACCTCAACTCATTGAGCCTATAAACGAGTCGAGCTTGAGCTGGCTAACGAACTAGCTTGACTCAGTTGCACTCCTGTCACATACATAAGCCTCGATTTCAAAAACTTTTGATTAATAATCAAAATTTTAAACGAATAAATCAAAATGATTTGCATCTATCATTTATATTTTTTGGGCAGCCCAACCTACTTTAAAATTTAAATAAATATATTTAATGTGATATTTGATTGATAATTTCTTTTTCATATTTATACCAACCGCCTTTACGTAGCGCTCGATTGTTCTGAAGGAGCATCAAACGGCAGACCTAATTTCTATTCCCCTTCGACTCGGGAGAACGATTCTTATAAATATTCTTCGCTGCTTTATCGTCAGCTCATACGAGATTTATCCGGATCTTTGACAATATTAGGGTTTCGACCTCCTTCTACCTTCCCATTCGTTTTATTCTGATCTGTTCGATTCAGCAGAGTGATCTTTGGCGACTCGTTGTTGTTGATTGATCCGTCCGAGTGCGATCCAGGATCTCGTATCCAGGAAGTCACAGGGATTGCTTTTGTTGCCCGTTGTTTAGAGCGATCTAGCTTGCTTGTGTTGGGAGGTTTGTATTTTGTTGATCCGATCTCAATATTTTGCGGCTTTTATGTTTTTAGGTTGCATGCGTGTTGGCTGGTGATGTTTATGGGGGTGATCATTTAAAATCAGAAGTTTCATCTTATGGTGATAATGTGATGTGTAATTTTGTCCGTTTTCCTTATTTGCGTTAAACGGAGAAGCTGATCTAATACTGATTATTAGATAACGAGTTTTTTATGCAAAAGGGCTGATTTAGATCAACACCTAAAGCACAAAACAAAATGAACAATCACAGTGCAATACATCAAGATTCACGGTTCTACCTGTAGCTAACATTCATAGGAGAGGTGAGAGATGATTCAATATAAAGAACCCACAAACAAATCAATACAACAACAACACCAAGCCTTTATTCCACTATCTAGGTGTGCTACATGAGTCCTTTTTCTCCATTGTGTCATGTTAAGATTTAAATTCTCATTTAAATCTATAAAGAAAGGTCATTTCTGAAATTTTCTAATAAAGTCTATTTAGGTTTACCTCTACCTTTCTTAACATAAGTTAAATCTAATATATCTACTTCTCTAATCGGGTCATCGGAAGGCCGCCATTTTATGTGACCAACCCATCTAAGGCGACTCTCTCTAATCTTAGCTTTCATTGGAGCTACTCCAATTTTTTCACATATATGCTCATGTTGTATTCTGACTCTAAGAGTAAAGCCACTCACCTTCCTGAGCATCCTCATCTCTGCAACACTTCATTTAATATTATGCTTCTCTTTTAATGGCCAACATTCTACACCATAAAGCATTTCAAGTCTAGCCACCATCTTATAGAATTTTCACTTAAGTTTTAGGGTGACTTTTCCATCACACAACAAGCCCGATTCATTCCTCTACTTCAAAAATCCAGCTTGAATTTTACTAATAATATACCCATCTATTCCCCCATTACTCTGAACAATAGACCCAAGATATCGAAAACGTGTACTCTTATTAATGACTAGATCACCCAAAGTCACAATCCCTCCACTAGATCTATTATTATTAAAATTACACTCTATATATTTAGTTTTAGATCCACTCAAACGAAAGCCGTTAGGCTCTAAGGTTGATCTCCATAATTCATGTTTAACTTCAATTCCCTCTCTAGTCTTACCAACAAGAATAATATCATAAAAAAAAGCATACATCAAGGTACAACCTCTTCCAAATGTTTAGTGAGAACATCCATGACTAAAGAAAAAAAGATATGGGCTTAAGGATGATCCTTGATGTAATCCAACTGAAATGGGAAAATACTTGCTCAAACCACCTTGTGTTTGAACACAAGTAACAACTCTTGCATACATATCCTTAATGACTTGAATATAAGCATTATTAACCCATTTCTTTTCTAGAACTCTCCATGGCACTTCTTTTGGAACTTTATCATATGCTTCATCTAAATCAGTAAGTATCATTATAGGATTTGAGTCTTTAAGTAGGCATATTACGAACTGCACAAAAAAAGAAGAAAAGCTTTTATACCAATAATCAATTAGATAAGTTCAAAATAAATGACAATTGGGTCAAATTTGTTGCCAAGCTTGGGTTTTATCTTCATCTATGTTGCACCGATATGAATACAGCGACATGAATACAACATGATATGGATACGGGACACGTCAATTCTTAAAAATACAGGATACAGGTACGGCGCGGGCATGACATTATAATTTATAAATCATACATAAAAATTAAGAAAACAATCAAAGCATAATATTTGAAATTATAAAAAAGTAACATTATTTGTTGCAGTGCATCTTATAATATCAAAATAAAAGTAGCATTGAATGTCTAGCGCAACAACAAAAGCATAAACATATATTGTCTAGCACATGAAGTTTCAACTATTCAATTGAAGGAATGATATGATTATCTTCTTCAGTGGTTTGTCTTTGAACTTCTATATCATCTTCAATAAAAGCTTCTAATTCAAACTCATCAAGTGAAAGATTAGCAATTTCTAATATTCTCACATCATCAAGAGACTCAAATCCATCTAGGAAATGAGAAAACCTCGCTCGCAGTCACAGAAGTAAATACGACGGGTCTTTTTTTGTATTTTTTTTTGTTTTTCAACGGACACGTTTATCAGATATGCATATCCTTTTGAAATTAAATAATATTTTAATTGGATACGGCAAAGCCGTATCCGACATGTATCGGTGCCGTATTGGAGGCGTATCCGTGTATCGATGTATAGGATACAACACATCTTCATAAATAGGTGTATCGGTGCAACATAGATCTTTCTCTATGCCATAAGAAATTCCATTTTGTTAACTTTGGGGTGAGAAAAAAAGTTTTAAAATAACTAATAATTTCTACCATAATTATTGTAATATGAATATAATGTGAATACAAACTTACCCAAAATAGAAAAAAAATTATTGTCATACTTATCTTGCTTTAATATGAATTTTGGCCCAATAATTCAATTTTAAGAGCCTTGTTCTCCATTATACGATGTTCGATCAATAACTTGATTGTACCTTCTTTTCAATCTTGATAGTGTGATATTAGAATTATCAAGTTGAAAATTTTAACAAACATGATCTTTTTTTATTTTTCTATGATCTAATTTCCAAGTCATGATAATAGATGATATGATTTATCATATATTAGATCAGATCTCTATATCGTGGATCCCCTTTTTGGAAGGATTTCACTATTGCGAAATCATAATTTAAGGTCAAGGAAGATTGGCTTTACAATCTCCAAGCTATATTGTTTTATCGTGTTTGTTAATTGATCTTTTAAAGAGTTTCTAGAAGATTTTTGAAACTTTTTTTGAGAGCTTCCTAGTTCATCGAGCTTGGGTAGCATTTCATGATTAAGAGTTGCAAATGTCCAATATCATACATTTAGCATACTATTTGGTTTGGCTTATTTCTATGGCAACGTCTCATCTTTCTAGCTTGCAAATTGATGAGACTTTTTTATGATATAATTTTCTTGTTTGAATTGGTAAGAGGGTCTCTTTAAGCTCCCACTTTCGTTAGCTCTGGCTTCATTATTATTGAAGTCATTTTTTTCTTCCTTTTGGATATCTTTGGATAGTTGAAGGACTATGATGCACGGACACGACGACACGACACGAATACGGATCACGATTTTTTTTTGAAAATATAGGACACGGGTCATGGCTATTTGCAATTAATCTTTATTTTTGTACCTCTTATGAATCTAACCCAAATAATAAGGATTGGGATGTGTATAGCTTCCAACCTTAATTTATGCACCAGATTTAATAGGAATGAGGTTCTTCTCATTGGTGGTGTTGATGAACTTTAATCACTTTGTTGACATATTTTCCATGCGTGAACATCTCCACCTATATGATGCCCTTATGGGATATCCTTCTGTGTTGCGATAAAGATAATGACAAGCACATCTTATTCGGTGTTCCCAACTTGCTGTTGTTTTCCACAATAGCAATTGCTTTTGTTTCTTCTGTTTCTTTCATTTTTCAAAGAAGATTTTAGGGTACATTTTTTTCGTATTTCTCCTTTTTGTGGTCATATATTTGATAATGGTCATAAAGCTCACATATCGTTTTAGTTTTTCAAGTAGAAGGGCCATTAATGCTATTCTTTCGCTTCTTTTTTTGAGAAAGAAGTCCCCCTCTTTGGATGATGCTTGAGCCTTCCCTTTTTCCTTTGTTTTTCTCTATGATAATTTGAAAATAATGTATTGAGGTCTACATCATTAATGTTTTTACCTCCCCAACATTTATTGCTAATGTGATTGCCTATCTTTAAAACTTCGTATTTTCTTGTACAATGTCCATTGTGTTACCTTAAATCGTGCGACTTATTTCACCAATGTTTTAGATACCACACCAGATTGAACGCTCATTATATCAACTGCTTGAATATCCTTAAGTCACCTCTTTATGTCCTTTTATTTTTAAAATGGCATTCCACTACGTCAGGGCAAGCTTATCATGACTTCAATTGAGAAAGACAACCTTATCATGACATGTACAAGGTGAAAAAGGCCTCCAACTGGTCGATTCATGCATCCAGCATTTCAGTATCAACAATCCATCATATGCAGGATATCAATTTTGGCTTCCACATACATATCCTTATCTTCTTCACCCTGTGCAACCATGTTTGCATTTGATATTGAAGGAGAAGGATTATGAATACAACTTGACCCGTTAATCATAACTATGATTTTTTGCATCATCTTCCACTTTATCATTATGGCCATTTGTTCTATTAGGTTAGCCACTTGGTTGGCTAGATTTCGTGTATAATAGTTATTAGTCATTGAATGGTTTAAGGCTTTCTTCCTCGTCCTCTTCTTCTTGCTATGGCCTTTTTTTTTTGTTGATACATTTCCAAAATAAGAAGCGGCACTCCATTGTCTTTGTATTTCATTTTTGCTTATACCATGCAGCAAGTAGAAGAGACTAGAACGGATTAAAAAAATGTTTTAAGCGTTTTATAGCAGTTCTCTACTGATCAATCTACTAATTTAAGGTACCTTGAGTGCTATATTAGGCGTCTTCCCTCAGCAGTTTTCTCTTCTACCTTCTTCGGAAAACATGTTTTCTTTTCTCTATTCATTCTTCACTGGAAAGCAGTATAGTGCCGTTTTCTTCTTTCATGTTGCAATAAAGACCTTCAAGTTCATTATTTTTGTGCTGAATCCATACTGGGACAACAAATAACTTGTTCTTGAGTCTTTATCAACTAGACAGCATGCCAAGGCAGCTATACATCAGCCCGCAATAAGTTTACTGAAGCGTACAGCAGCCAACAGAAGGAAGCAGCAGCAAGCAATTTCAACAAGGCAACAGCAAGCAAAGTTCAGGTAAGAAGTAGCTACAGTAACCGGGAAATTTCAAGTTGCCTTCAATAAGAGCTTCATCTTGTGGCAGCGAAGGCCATCCAGCAAACTTCTTCTACAGAGAGATAGTGTGATAGAGCAAATCCGAGGCTCCTTGCTACAATATTCATGCCATGCACAAAATGGGAGAGGAAAAGGATTAGAACTGGCAGATTTTTCTAGTTTCTGATTGAGTTTAATGCATGATTCGACCTTTTAAACAGTTGCATTACAACAAGGATAAGCTTTAATCCATGCCTAAACGAATTCCGTTAATAAAGGAAAATCCTATCTACAATTAACTAACAATATCAATGGTTATGCACATGATGGTATATTTATCTTTTTCTTGTTTAAACTTTGTATTTTGCTGCTCAGCATCTCTTTCTATTCTCCTTTTATGTTTGAAATTGACAGGATAATTAATTTAGACTGTTTGTTTACATTATATGATACTGTTTCCCCTAATTTATCAATCAAATTATTGAGGAATAGATCTTTAGAATCTGACCAGCTTTTAATATTTTCCCATTCTATTTGTTTCAAATTTGTGTTTTTGTAACGCTTTGGTTTTCTTCTTGTTTCCTCATGTTGATAGATGTCAGTAAGAAAAATCAGAGCTTGTAGCACTATGAGTGGAATGAACCCTGAGCAGGATAATATAGACAGTTTTATTCGGCAAGCGATAGGAAAAGAGCCTTTTCTCTCACTCTCAAGAGCTGGTGATAGCCCTGTTCAATTAATACAATTGCTTCATGCCTTTGACCAGCAAGGAACTGACAAAGTTCCTAAAAGTTCAAAGGGGGACAGTTGTAATGAATTAAAGGAGAACTCAGACAACATTTTCTATGGTGTCGATTCATTTTCTTCTGAACCAAATGGGATTAAGGATCATGTTCATTCTCTCAAGGGTTGGGAATCAAACACCAAGGGTTCAAAGTGCACGCCTGCTCAGATGCCGTCCCGTAAAATTCCTGAAGCTGTAGTTGCATTTGCTCATGCTGCTGCAAAAGCCACCAGTGATCCTGAAAAATGTATGTCAAGTGTCAAAATCAGGTATTTTGGGTTATAAATAGTAGTAGGTTTGGGCTCATTGAATGTTAGGAGCTGATCATAAAAGAGTTGATGTTTCTTGCAGCGAACCTTCCAGGATGGCCTTTGTTGTCACCATCCAAAATACAATTGCAGAAATGTGATAAGTGTTCTCGTGAATTTTGTTCCTCCATTAATTATCGGCGGCACAGACGTGTGCATCGACGATCTTTGAATGTTGACAAGGTACTTTCCTTAAGGTCCTTATATGGTCCTACATGAACTTGGTATATTTGTTGACCTATTGATTATTTTGCAACTTTTAGAAATTATATAGAGAAGTTTGTGTGGCTATGCTCTTTGAAACACTTTGTATTTTGGAAGAGAAAATTTTGCATAAGATTCTATCTGGTGCTAAATTCTATATTATACTGTTATACTATCCTAGCCTTCTATAGCGGAAGTTGATATTTAACATGCTTGAAAGCTTTAAAATCCTTCGAGCAGGAAGAAAAGCTGTAATGTATTTAGTAGTGGAATTTATCTCTTTTTTTTCTTATTCAATCAATTCAACTGGCATAAGCTCGTAGGAAGAAATTGTTCTGTTGGGAACTAGTACTAGCTGTATTATTTTTTATCCTCCAAGTGCTCACCATCCTCTGTCTTTATGACAAAGCTGTCTGTACTCTTAGGGAATCTTGTTTTATGGTTTTTTGAATTTTTGTATCCGTTGAAAAAATAAAGTTGCATAACTTCAGGAGGTTTAAGACAGGAATATGCTATGCATCTATTATATTGGCGGTGCACATTTTTCTGGTTTGAAGGATTTGTTGATAAACAGTTTATTCTGCTTTAGCACCTTTTGTGCATCTATAAGCCATAACAACTAGGGCCAGTTGCAAGCTTTTCCTTCCACTATTAGTTAACATCCACTACAGATACTGATCAAACTGCCGCTACTAATAGGCTTTGGCACAAGCAGCTGTCAGTCACTTGCCTCCATTGTCAATGTGGTCATCAGCTTCTGCTGCACCTGCCTCCACGCTTATTGATTCCTGTGCTGCTGGACTTCACTTTTATGCTGTAATTTTATATTATTCTTTCAATGGCCAGGTGTCTTATTATTGGGTTTACCCCAACCAATTTTTTTCTGAATGGCCAATAGATGGTTGTTAGTAGTAACTAATCTTAAATGTAATTAAACAAAGATAAGATATCTTTCCTTTTTTTGTGTCGTTTGGCCTCTTAATTTTAGACATAGCATTTTAAATTTATGCCATGTGGCAAACAAATTTGAGATATTGAAAAATCATAGAAGACGTTATCTGAATGTATGGCCTTGTCATTATGGTAAGGCTTTTTACCCGATAAGGCAATTTAACTTTTTATATTTTTGAATATGTTTTCTAGAAAAATGTTCGAAATAGATTTAAGCTGACACATCCAACTCGCACATTATCATTTTGCTTGACAGTTTTATGTAAAATGGTGACTTACTACCTGAATCTGAATAGACTCGTCACTTGTGATTGGTACCTGATGACTTAGATCTGTGTGTAAAATACTTAATATGGCACTATGATAGCAACATACTTAGTACCAAGATCTCTTTCACAGCAAGTTGATCAGATTGGTTGGAATTTTAACATCCACTGCCTTTGATTTTGGTTTGTTGCTTTGAACTAAATTTGGTTCACATTCATTCCTTCTGATGAATATTTTTTATTTTGCAGGACTCTCAGAAGAACAGAGACTTTTTGGGAACATTTTGGGACAAGGTAATAATTTTTTTCTTTTGGGATTACTAATGTTGTCATGTTTGGGTTAGGTTGGAACCTGCCCAAAGTGATTTCCAGTGGTACTGAAACAAGTGCCTTAGATTTTGGTGCTCAACACTTTCTTAACTTAACATAACCCTTGCTTTTGGCTTGGCCAAACTTCAGCAAGAGTAATTTTTTGTTTGATACTTATATGCATAACATTGACCTGTAGATGTTAGTGTTTTTGCCACTATAAGTAAACTTAACGAAGCACATTCTTTGTGCAGCTTTCTGAGGATGAGGCCAAAGAGTTAGTGTCGCTCAGAAATGTAACAATAGAGGTGATGGACTGACCTTTTTAATGTATCTTTTATATTCAGCATCATACCGGCAATTGCTTGATGCATTTCTTTTATGCATTTTAGGTTTAAACCTCAAAATTTCCGCCTACTTCACGACTGTCTGTTGTGCTTCATGAATGTTGCTATTAAACTATTGTCTTTTAATGATATTCTTGCGACATACTTATTGTTAATTATGCACTATTATGATTTGGATTACTTTTGGTGCACTTGTTCACAGAAGTATATCGACAAACGCACTGGAATTTTTAGCGCCTGAAAGTACAAAGCAGAAGTAAAAGAAAAAACATGATATTGCTTGTATGCATATGCCATTTTTCTCTTTTAATATTCTCATCTTAAAATATAATTTTGTTTGTTTCTCATGTTCTACACGTGCTATTTATGTGAGCATGTGCTTATAGGTAAAACTGGTTTTTAATTAGGCCAAGTTTGTTTCACAGAAAGCATTCAGATCTTTGTTTCAAAAGTGAATTGCAATTATATTTATTTGTTTCATTGGATTTCATTTATTGTGAGCTCAATTCCCATGTTTATTTTGCGCTCGATTTTTAGTCATTTTCATGCAATACTTCAAAAAAGCAAATGTGCTTCTATGGAGAACGGTGAAGCATAATTTCTTTCTTGGTTATATGTTTCAAATTTCTTCATTCAATACGTGTGAATATGTGAGCATGAGCAAGCAAGGTTATTGGATGCCTTGCTACAATACAAGAAGCATTTCCAGTTATAACAGAGTTGCTTCAACTTTCATAGGACATGGTGTTGTCCTTAGAAGTTCTAGTCTTCTAGTTTTCTTCTCCTCATGTTCTATCAAACTCAGACCCACTTTTTTCGTCATAACACCTAAAATATGATTATGATTAGTTTGTTGTGGCACCTTTTGTTTATTTTTTTATTTTATTTTATTTTGTTGTGGCACCTTACATGTATAAAAGATGATTTCAACTTTTAGCATCTCCATTAGTCTTTATTTTTTAAAAACAAGTAAATTATGTTCCTTGCTTCTCCTCGAATTGTATTAAATCCTAAACATTAAATCCCTAGGTAAATTGAACTTGTCCTGTCCAGTTCATTTTAACTGCTTATTCAGTTTTTCTTCAGATATTTATAACATTTAAATCGCCCAATAAACAAAGGATCAAATAATAAAAAAGTTTTAGGTCAGAGATTGATTTATTTGCTTCTCAGGAATCATTTAACATAAAGGATATATGTTCATTTCAATATGATGAACATTGCCAGATTAAGTTAATCTTGGGTTTTAAGATGAATGACAAATTTCCATAAATTTTATTTCAGCGTAGGCCTTTCTTGTTACCGCCTTCTTTCTTGTTACCGCCTTCGACCATTCTGGCTACTGCCTTCAATTTGTTACTATGCAGTTTTAGTAGGGGCTTGAAAATGGATGTTTTTAAGCATGGAAGGCAAATATTTTGTTTCAAAATATTCTCTGAATATTGTATCAATGCTACTGGTCGAAAAAATTAAGATGCAAAACTATGGTGTCTCCACCATAAATTTTGCTATAATCTGCTTTACCTCCTCCACTTAAACTATTGGTTTGTAAGCATGACTGGCCACATTAACTTCTAGAGTTTTCTTTGTAAGTTGATTTCTTTTCAAGAAATGCCCCCCAATTCCTTATTTCTGAGTAGGGACAATAGATTGAGGTTTAAGTTACCCTTTGACGAAAGCTATGTAAAAATATACTGTATATCTAGAAGACATGGCAAAATGTGTTTTTTCTTGGTTTCCATGAATTTCCCTCAATATATATCAGGTTTCCTTCTGTTTTAGATAATAGAAGCTCCTGACATTTGGAAGTGCTAATGGTTCTCTTATCACATGTTAAATTCAGTCAGTATGAAATCTGTTTCAGGACTCCATGCATGAAGCAACCTCCCCTTTCTTTTCCTGGAGTACCAGTGAGTTCCTTTTTTAATTTGCATGGGCACATTGCATTTTCTAGAAAGTAAAAAAGTATAAAACTATTTTTAACTTTATTGCTTGATTTTGTGCAAAGTGTAAAAATATTTATAAACTTCTCCAAAAGGCTCTTAATTTTTTTTTTTTAATTTTTTATTTTTTTTTTCTCCAAAAGACATGATGGAAATAAATCAAATCTAAATCTATTTTAAAAAAAAAGTGAAGTCCCCAAGAGAGGCTGATGGATAGAATAGAAAGAAGAGGTACACGGATTGCAATATAAGGATCATAAGAGGATCAATTCAATAGTTAAGAATTTTTAATCCATGCGCTGAGGGATTCCTATCAAGAGTGGTTGACTTTCGGGTCCCATGATCCTTCAATTCTATTTCTCAAATTGAATGGTATAAATCTATCACTCCCTTATTTGTGTACAATATTTTTGAACGTGGGTATGTAGTCTTTTGATAAGAATTCCTGCATGTTGATTTTTTATTCACATACAAAGTGCAAATCAATCCAGTTTCTAGTTTCTGTGATGAAATATCTATCTATCTTCACTTGATTAGTAGGATCATGTTGAATTATATTATGAGCAATGCTAATGAGAGATTTATTGTCAAAATGTCTTCATTAGTAATTTCTATTTGATTTTAAATCTTCTAAAATGATATTGATCCACAGAATCTCACAGATTCCTTGAACCGTGGTTCAAAATTCAAACGTAACGTTATATCTTAAAATCACATAGTTCTTGCTCTTTATGTTATTAGATTTCTTCTAAAAAATGTGCAGTATCAATTGTAGATCTTCTATCCACTAGTGATCCTCGATAGTCTGCATCGATATACTCTTCAATTTATAAAGTATCATGATTTTTATAGAGGATTCTTTTACCATGATTTGATTTAAGGTATTTGAAGATTATACAAGTAGGCAGGGATAGGTAGATCCTCATCAGTCTCTGACTCTACTTGGCCCAGAGTCTTGACCTCGACGACTTTCCTTGCTGTCACGATCTTCTTCCTAACTCTCCTCAAATAATTCTTCCTCTGATTCTTACTAGTAAACGGGCTTGAAGTTTAGACTCATTAGGTTTGTGCTTAAATTAGGTGATGAGATTCATTGCAAATGTGATATCTAGACAAGTGTGAGATGGATCATTTTTCTTACTAATAATTGATATTATCCAATGTCTTCTTATTTTTCTTCTTCATCTGCATCTAATTTTAGACTTGATTTAGTTGGGATTTTACCAGGTTTATTATCTTTTTTTTTTTAATTAATTTTAGTAGATCTATGATATATTTTTGTTGAGAGGAATGTTCTTTGTTCGCATTGAACAAGTTTTATTCCTAAGATGTCCTAGAGGAATGTTTTTTGTTCTAACATTTTTCAACAAATTTTTTTAGTAGACTTCTCTCTATTGTCATCTCCTATGATAATTATATTATCAATGTATACGATGAGAAATGAGATTTTCTCATCAGTGGAGTATTTTATGAAGAGGGTATAATCTCCTTAGCTTTGTTTGTATTGAGTTCCATTCATGGCTTTTGTGAATCTACTAAATCATGCTCTCAGAGATTTTTTAAGGATATACAAAACTTTTTTTTTAATTTGCACACATTGTTCTTTGTAAAATAACTATTAAATATATATATGGTGGATCCATATAAACTTCTTTTTCAACATCTTAATATAGGAAAGTATTATTTACATCATATTGATTCATGGACCATCTATGATTGGTTGTAAGAGAAATTAAGATGCAATTCGTTTTCGTGATAAGTAAAAAATTTTTTTGGTAGTCAATTCCAAAGAGTTTGAGTAGATCTTTTGGGTACCAATCTTACTTGATATCGTTATAGGCTTTCATATGCTCTATATTTTGTTAAAAAAATGCATTTGCATCTTACTATTTTATTCTCTTTTGGTAGTTCAATGATCCCTCGTGCATTTGTTTTTTGAAGTATTCAACTCTTCTCTCATGGAATTCTTACAGTTGTTATTTTTAAGTGCTTTAAATAGATTTTTTGTTTTTGTAATGGAATTAGAGTTGATATTTGTAAGGAAAGCTTTGTGGGTAGGAGAAAGTTTTTGAAAATGTGTGTATTGGGAGATGGGATAAAAATTATGGAGTGGTGGTTTGATCACCGTTACCTTATAATGGTTCAAAGTCTGGAGTTTGCTTAAGATTTTGACTTAGGCTTATTCCTTATGCAATGAACTTGAAGAGCTACAATGTTTGAATTTTTTGCAGTTTGTATTATTAGTGTCAATATGAAAGATACATAGAACAACAACAACAACATCAAGCCTTTATCCCACTATGTCGGGTCAAGATGAAAGATACATGTTTCATCAAATTTATTTTCTTCTATTTAGAGTTCTTTTTATGATGAGTTTGATTGAAAAAAAATTATTTTTCATCAAAGGTGACAACATTTGAAGTAAGCAATTGTTTGGTGTTAGGATGATAAGTTGATAACACACTTTTTTTGAGTGAAGGCATACTCAATAAAGACATTGGAGAGCATTAGGATTAAGTTTACTTTTCTATAGTTTCCAAATGAGGATATGGGCAATGCTCCCAAAATTTTTTAGAAGAAATTTTGAAAGAGTTATTTGTGGGGAAGAATGCAATCACACAATTTGCTATTAAAGTCAATCACTCTTGAGGTTATCTATCAATTAAGTATATGATAGTTTGGATTGCTTTTCCTCGATATCTTTTTCACACTTTATTCTAAAAGAGAATAGTTATTGTCTTTCAAAAGATGATTTTTCATTTTTGCTTCTTTATTTTGTTGGGGACTGTTAGGACATGAGGATTGGTGGATTATATCTTTTTTTTTTTAAGAAGAAAGACAATTTTGTGTGATTAAAGTATTCATGAGCATTGCTAATATGAAATGCCTTGATGTTTGAATTATTTTTGTAACATGGAAATTAATAAGGTGAATAATATTAACATCACATTTTTATTTTATAAGATATATCCAATCATACACGTGCATTCATCAATGAATGTGAAAAATTTTATAGCTCTAAGATATTAGGGGATTTTGAAATGTCCCAAAATGTCAGAATGAATATGTAAAAAAAGGAATAGATGATCTAGAATGACTTTCATGAAAAACAACACGATGCTCGGCAATTTTACAAGTCTTATGATAAAAATCTTTCATGCGTACATTTTAAAAAAGAGAATGAAAAATACGCTATAGGCTTTTGAAAAAGGTATGCCCTAGCTTATAATAATGTTTTCTAATGGTTTATATATTAAAGGTGATAATGAAAGAGCGTGATGAGTGGTTCCCGTCTTCAAGAAGATATAGCCCATCAATTTCTTTAGCTTGCCCAATCGTATTGCCTATAATGAGTTTCTGAAATATGCAATGAAATCAACCATGATGAAGAGAAGGAAAAACATCCATAAGAAATAAGAAAGAAGAACAGAACAAAATTTGAAAGATGGAAACCCTAGCCTCGCTTTGACACGATGTAGGAAGGTAGAGAAATTACTTTGAATTTTATTGCTTGATTCTATTCAGGGTGTTGACGTATTTGTAGATTTCTTCAAAAGGCTATAATGAAAATAAACCAGAGTAATTTTTAAAAAATGAAAAAAATAATCCCCAAGAGGAGCTGACATCTATAATATGAAGAGTTGGCATCCAAATTGCAATCTAAGGGTCATAAAAGGATCGATTAAATAGTTAGAACCTTTAAGCCATTCACTCAATAATCCCTATTAAGATTGGTTGACTTATGAGTTCCATGATCCTTCATTTTATTTTATTATTTTATTGATATGTTTTGTGCTGAAGATAATCTTAGGTATATGATTAATTTAGTCCTTTGCATTCTTTTATCCGGATGATGTCTTGACTTGTAAAATTTCAGGAAGTCACTGGCTCTTCTGTCACCAAGGCATTATCTACATCTTTTCGTAGAGCAGGGGTGTTGTCTTCCCTTCCACAGGGGTACATCAAAGCTGGTTTGACACTTTTGGTAAGAAGATGCCCTTTTGCATGGCTCCGCTATCCTTTTTTTATTTTTACTTATGTGATGACGCTGAAGTACTTTTTGCTGATTAGGAAATTGTCCAAGCAAGCCCTTCCATGCTTCCTATGTCATCACAAGAATTATTCAGTGTGCTTGATGAAGCAAGTGAGAAGACTTTCTTATGTGCTGGGACTGCTTTGTCATTGCAGAAGTATGTCTTTGATGGAGAAGTTGTGAAGAAGGCTTTGGAAATTAAAAATATAGTAGCTTGCACTAGTTTTCTAATTGAAATTGAACTGGTAGGTTATTCATGTTTGCCTATTACATCCATCCTAATAATAAAAAATTTCTGAAGCTGCAGCATGTAATTGTACTGATGCAATTGATAGGTTAAGGCCTGGCTCGTTGACAAGGATGCAGAAGCTTTAAGATGCCAAAAGTTGCTTGTGGATGAAGAAGAAGCCGCCCATAGAAGGTACCGTGATGATTTTTCTGATATGCCCGGTAGAAAAGAGGAAATTTCAATTAATTGTACATAGAGCTTGTCAATGAATTCTTTGACTCTGTTCTCACAGTTTTAATCATTGAACCTTTCTGGAATCTAATTCCTAGTTAGGTCATAGTTTATGAATGGCAACATATTTAAAATTATTTCTACTTTGTTATTATTTTTTAAGTTTTTATGTTGATATGTACATAAACTCAATATATATGATCTGGTTGTATTGTTTAATATGTCTTGCTCTATATCTATTTCATGCTTCATAAGGCCTTTTCAAGGAGTTAGAAATCAAGGTTTATCAGGTTAGGCATTTGTAAAATATGATAGCCTGCTTATTTAAAGATTTGAAAGTTTGGCCTGTGTTGAGTGGCACATTCAATACCTGGTCACTTTGTTATGGTGGTTTAGTTTCAACTTTTTGTTACTGGCTTGGTAATATCTGTTATTACAAGACAACCTGATCGTTTGGGACAGCTTTAGACTTTTATTTTTGTCTGCTTTCAAGAAATTTTTGTACTAAAAAATAGCTTTATAAAATAATAAGAAAGTCATCTCAAACAAAGCTTAAGTTGATTAATATCTTGTAGGTTATGACATCATCATCATTATTAGCCTTATCTGAGTTACTTGTTGCATCTTTAATTTCAATAACTAGGTTGTCTAAACGCAAAATGTATGTCCGCTCGTTATATGGGCCATCAACAAACTAATCCTTCAGCCCCTCCAACCTGTCAAAATGTATGCCCGCTCGTTATATGGTGATGTGAATTGCTCATCAATGACTTATTATAGCTTGACATTTTGACAAATTTCACTCATATCCAATGTTGATATAGATTATTATTGTTTGTTTGAATGCTGAACTCATCCTTTCAATCTATTAATTTGGATTCATACTATGGATTTATTAAGTCTGCCATTATATTAAGCAGTAAATCATTTATTTTTTGGATTCAATCATAGTGCGTCCTTAATGTATGTATAAGGAAATCATTTCCCACCTTTGTAACGACTAAACTAATTAGGTCGTTAGACCATATTTGATTATTCTTGGGTTTTGCAGAGATGAAATGTTGCCATATTCTTGTGTGGTTTCCACCCTATGGCCTATTATGTTTTTATTGGGAAACAGTCTTTTATTTGCATGAACGCAGGGATATGGCATTATATGGATGGGAATCATGTATGTCCTGCATTTTTTGTATATTTATTGATTCATCAGGGCATGATGCATAATGCTTTCTCACCTGAACTTTGAGAAATTTTAACGATGTACGATTTTCTTTTTTTATTATTGCTATATTTGTTTAGTGCTATGCTTGTGTTATCATGACATTGAAGTGCAAGCTTTCATCTGGGTACTTTAGGATGTTGATCTATTTTAGAGTGGTGTGTTATATATTATGCCTCTGATTTATAGTAGGATGTAAATTCTGCCCAAAGTTTAAAAATTGAACGAAGATAGATTAGTTCTCACTCACACAGACCTAGCTCAAAATTTGAAGTAAATATTTAAAATTCAGGTTTAGACTTTCTTTTGGTCGTATTTCAAGCATGCAAGGCATTCAGTGAATTCATGTAGTTAAATATGTTGGAATATTTAATTTAATTTTTTATTGAGTAGGATCCCTTATATAATAGGGAGAGTCAAATACAATGTTTAGAATAGTAATGGAATAAACATAATCCATAGACTATAAATAGAATTTTCCAGTAATATGCTATTGCTAACACACTTCATGTTGAGCTTATACTTAAAATGAGTTCCAGCATGGTTAATATATATGCAAGCCGGTTTGAGTTAAAAAAATGAATAATATTCTTCTTTTACCACATATATCATCAAGTGATAGGCAATCCAACTATATTTGATTTTTCATGAATATGATATTATTAACAATGTAGATGACAATATGACTGTAGGTGTGCAATTAGAAAACCAATCACAAATTAAGGAGAAAGATAACAAGGAAATCAACAGAATAAAAGTCTAGTTCTCGCATCCCATTGAGGAAATTTCTTCCTCTAGAAATTGACATTCAACAATAGCATTGCTCCTGAAAAATTCAGCATCCAACAAACACTCAAGTTTAAGTGAAATTATAAATTTTATTAAGTAAAGACTTTGTACATTATATTAGAGATATCCTTTTTATAATGACCAGAAATCCCTAATCATTGTTGCTCCCTGGATTTACCCAAAACAAAATTGTCCCTACAAAATCATGTAGAAATGCTGTAACCGCTTACATGTGAAACCTTAAATAAATGAATACATTTCTATCTAGGCATTGAAGTAACGTGAAGCAGCATCAACATAGTAGTAGGGTTGATGGATAAGCACGAGATATCTTTTGAAATTATCACGAGACAATTTTGCTTTTTGTTGTTGACTACTGATGGTACTTCCCTGAGGATATCTAAGTAACTAATTAGTCAGCTTAGTTGCTCATATTATCAGAAAAAATTGACTTATATCTGCATAATGAATTCATAGTCATTGTGTTTTTTAAGGCTAAACTTTGTCAAGTATTAAAATTGTCTCTTTATGGGTTTTCTGTTTGGCAGAAAAGCCGAACTTCTGGAAAGGAAACGGTTGAAAAAGTTGAGGCAGAAGGAACAAAAACAGAACGAAGCTTCCAATGGTGAGAAAAATGATTTTAAGGGCCCTTCACCTGACTCTCCGCCTGACTTCATGGGATCCACGGAGGCTTCTTCCAGTACAAGGGATTCATCTGAGGACTGCACTTCAGAAGCGTCACACATTCAAGAACATCAGGTGGATTTTGCAGAATCTTCAGCTACTGAAGATGATGGAAATGCTGGGAAGAACATAAGCCACAATGCACAGAATGACCATCAAAACTTGAGCGATCGTGGGAAGAGCCCAAATTTAGCTTCTCGTGCCGATGATCCAGGGCGGGATGTAGTCCACCAAACTCGAGGAACGGGTCATATGCAGTCGAATCACTTGCGGCAGGTTCAATCAAGGCTAACTCAAAATAATCCTAGTGGTTTCCAAGCAGGCCAGGTTTCCACAGCAAGGCCCTTAGTTAACATGCGGCAAAATAACTCCAGGGACTCTAAGGTTATTAACCGACCAAATGGCAATAAGGTTTGGACCATAAAATCCAGGCCTGACAATGATGAGGATGGAAAATATGGTGAAGAAGCTGACAGAGAACTTACTAATCAACCTTCTGTATCTGACAGAAGTGAAGTCCAAGTCCTTATTGGTTCAATCAATGTTTCACTTGGAGATGATGAACTTCAACATCACTGTACTATCATGGAACCCCAAAGACAGGAGAAGCTGGTCAAGCCCGATTCAAGTCTGAGCAGTCTCGGTAAGACGCCGGTAAAGCTGTGGAAACCAGTGAGCCGCCATGGCAATGGAAATTTAGTTCAAAATGATCATGATGATGTAAAACAAGGCGTTCCTGCTGCCAAAGATGCTGAACGGCTTCTACCAGGGGGAAGCTGTCTGGCTTTTGAAGGACTAGTTTCTGATTTTGAGAGGTGTAGAGGATCTATCATGTTCTCAACCGAAGCAGCAAAGGCTTTCCTTGTCCAGAGTAAGTTGCATTCTATAAACCTGCTTGCTTTTTCTAAGATTTGGCATCTAGGGGCTCGCGTGCCGAGTTTATCGAGCTCACGAGTCGAGCTCGTTTAGTGAGTTCGAGCTCGAGCCAGCTCGGCTCGTGAGCTCGCGAGCCGGTTCGAATAAATATTAATATTTTTAAAATAAATTTATTTTATTTATGAAATTTAAATATTAAAAAAAAAATACCTATAAGTTTTATTTAAATGTTAAATATTTCATTTTTTTTTTTTCTAAACTTTGGCTAAGTTTTAAAAATCCCGCTTAAGTTTTAAAAATTTTGCCTAAATTAAAAAATTCCTGCTTATGGCTCACAAGCAGGCTCGAGCTCGTTTACAGTGAGACGAGCTCGATAAGGGTCTAAACTCGACTCGTTTACACCCCTATTGGCATCTATTGATGTTTTCCCTATTTCTCTTGATGTATTCAAAGAAAGATAGATCTTACTGGTGATTGCAATGATGCAGGGTGGAAGGAGGCCATTGCCGGAGATGAGGTGTTGATCATTTCTTCCCCGGACACTGAAGCTTCAGGAAACCCTAATCATATTGAAGGCAACTTTGTAAATATACCCTCACAATCATCTGATTTTCATGGACGACACATCCTTGGGCGTGTCGAGAACCGGCTGGCAGTGGCCGGTGTTGCTGCCATTGATCCTGCATTGAACGGTTCTTTGCATTTCAAATTCAGACCGAAGGCAGAAAAAACCTCCAGGTTGAAGTACGTGCCCAAGCAGAAGAGTTAGGCTGCAGAGGACTTCAAAGTTTGTCGTGAAAAACTTTGTGCAGTTTCAAATCACCAATCTTATAAGCGGAGGTTCGGTTTTCTGTTTTTTTTTTTTGAAGTTTTTTCCTTTTTTATTTCTTTCTCGCTCTTCATAGAATTCTTTGGTGTTCAGCACACACTAGTCTTGTCTTTATAGGGCACAGGGCACCTCTTTATATCTGGAAGTTTTTTTGGTTTTTTTGTTTTGTTTTTGTAATAATTACTTATTTGGTTTTATAGTTTTGATGATGCTCTCTTATTTTGGCGTCCTTTGTTCTTCTTCTTCTCTTCCTCAAAGATGAAAATTTTCAAAGGTTTCATGATATACTGAACTAATGAAAGCAGTAGTTGAAATGATCATTTGTTTTGGCGGTCGGTTTGAGTTTGGGCATGTTTTTTTATTGAAGTGAAGAGAATTTCTCCATTGATTCAAGGTTTATTTATTTATTTATTTTAATATAAAAAAGAAGCAAATTAGCTAAACAGAATGATGCATTCAGTGGAATGCATCAAACAGATTTGGTGCATTCCATTGAATGCATCAAAATGTTTGGCGCATTGCTACGGTAATTTTAAAATTTAATTCGGCTGATTGGGGTGAATGTGTCAAATGATTTGGTTTGTTTATTTTTAATTTTTTTTAAACACATGATCTTATTGCTAATTTAAATTAGATATTATGCTCCTATTTATAATATTCTCAATTTGATCATTGTTGTTGCAATGCCTAAAGTAGCAATTGTATCAAGTTGTGTTTTAATTTAAGGGATGATTTATATTAAGCCACTTCATGCCCAAAATTTTGCCTTTTATCTGCAATAGTGATATATTTTCATGGCAAATGTTTAATAATTTGTATTAATCCTAATTTTGTCTTTATATAAGTTAAAGCATTGTTATGTGCTAAAATATTTGCGACGGTAAAATAAGAGAGGTTAATGTCTTAACATTAAACAAGAATTTAAATCATTCATAGATAAGATATGAGAGAGGATGAATAGCTTCACTCTTAGAGATAGAATGTGAAATGAGTAAAAACGTATAAATGTGAAATTGGAGTAGCTATTGTGGTAGATAAAATTAGATAGAGCTGTATTATATTTTTTGGATACAAAATGTCCTGTCTAATGATCCGGTTAGGAGAGTAGATGTATTAAATTAGTTTATTTTAAAAAAGTAAAGGTAGATTTAAAGGCTTATTTAGAAAATATTAGAAATAATATGTTTATTAGATTTAGATGAGAATTTAATTATTATTATGACACTGAAAAAAAAAAAATTGTACAAAATGTACTTCATATTGGAAGCTGGAAGAGTTGTAACATAGAAGTTTTTAAGAGTGTTTCTATTTTGCTCATTCTCTTATGAAGAGGAGGATTTGAGATTAAATTAAATATAAATTTTGGTGTTGATATGTGGAGTTAGAGTTTGTGTTGTCCTTGTGCATATTAATTTTATAAGTGATTGAGTGCGCCAATATTTTTTTATGATGAATTCAACGAGTATTGATGTAACTGGACAATAATGATTAGGGGATTGTAATCAAACGGTTGTGATATGATTATAGTTGGTTGATAATAGTTGTAAATATATATTTGGCTTATGTGTTATGATTATAGCCATTCAGTTATTTGATGGTGTGTGTCAGATGGTGGTGGTCAGATTTAGATGATCTGGCAATGCTAGTCGGGTGGTGGTGATTTGATGATAGTTCTTTGACGGTGGTGTTTGGGCGGAAATTCTAGGTTCTTTGAGCCTTGAGCTCTTTTGAATCTCAAGTTAAATGTCCAAGCTTTCTCTTAGAGAGTGAGCTTATTTATAGATTATTTAGAATGACATGACTCATAAATATAATCAAAATCTAAAACACTTTTTCAAATGACATGTATTGATTATCTTAGTCATAAGTCATTCTTATGGCATTTAAGGGCTTAAATGATATTGAAATTCAACAATTTTAGCCTTGTTGGATTCGCCTAGTCGAGATGCTCAATTTGATTATAAGCATGTGCAATTTGAAAATCGTTTGATCATTTAATTAATGTCATGAAGCTTCTAATTATGTTTCAAGTGCTTATTTGAACTTATTTGATATTTGGATCAAATCACCCTAGTGTGTTGAATGCTTTATCTTTTTAAGACATTTGGGTTGAGAGTTTAAATGATTTTGAATTTAATTATGAATGTTTTCAATTATTGAAGTTTCTACTTATAATTGAAATGTTTGATTTGAACTCATTTTGTGTCGAATCGGATCTTTTTTTTTTATGTTTAGGGTTTTAGTAATTCTTAATTTAATTAGAGTAAAACGTTTAGTTTGACTATAATATTTTGTAAAATTAGAGTTTTAGTAATTCTTAATTTAATTATACATTGAGATTTGTGCTCAAAGTTAATTTTTTATGATGTATAAATGCTCCTCCCCTCCCTTCCAAATATTTTTTGGACTTTGAAATTTTCATCATTCAAAAATATATATTAAGTTTTTCAAAAACATTCTCATGCAAAATTATAATCTAGAAAAATTTCAAGACTAACAATAATATAGATATCCCTTCAAAAAAAAAAAAAAAAATTCAAAGTACAATCTCTTATTCTCTAATTTTTTTTTAAATTGATATGCCAAATAGAGCAAAAATTATTTACAATTTTTAAAATAAAATTTTCAAATTTGTTTGAAGTTAATTGTTGATACTTTGATTTTGGAAGTGTCAAAATATAGTAAAAACACTAGGAATATTTTTGGGAACTTCAAAAATGTCAAAATTAGATTGCCTTTGCTCGAATCAGGCAAAAAAAAAATTTTTTTGAGATATTTGAACCATTAAGATATATTAAAATATATATCATATAAATAAGTTTCAAATTCAAGATTGTGCATTGCATGACATTGCACGTCCAAATTAACCTAGTGACGCATCTGAATACCACACGTAATAATTTTTCCTAATTTCGAGGGTGAGATAATCACTCAATCTCTCTTTATTTCTCTCTATTCTCTCTTACTTAATCCGCCGCATCTATAGCTTTCTACATATCAATAAATTATTGCCTTATGAGTTCTCAAACATAATAAGCAAATAGTTTAAAATGTGTGTATTATTAAGAGTCAGGCTTCATTTATGACATCTTTCTTACTGCTTTATAAAATAATGTTTTAATATATAATTTTTTTTTCAAAATTTTTTTATTAAAAAAAGTACTTTAATAAAAAAAAATTTTTTAATGAACAGTAAGAAAAGCAATCCCAAACAAAATCTTAATTTCCTCCTTTGATTTCAAGTTAAGCAACAACAGACACCTTAATACTAAGAAGGTGAATGTGAGAGGATGGCTTACCTCATTAAGAGTTGGCCTGAGGTGTAAGTTCTACTTTACAAAGAGTAAGAGTTAGGTCAACAGTAATTTTGCTAAGTCACAAGGAGATTTCTATTCATAGGATCAAAAATCAAAAAATAAATGGTATTATATTTTTTACCTATTTTATTTTTATATTTATTTGATTACCCTTTATATATCGTCAGTTTTATGGCCAATGAGTTTATTTTGCATCCTCCGCCTTCTTTTTCGTCGTTTAGGGTTGCACATTCTCGTTCATCATCGAGGATTGAACTTCAAACGCTACCAGTTTGGTTCTACTTTGATTTTGGTATTCTGATAGGCGCATGCGGTGTAAGGGTACGATAAGTTTAATAAATAATATATTTTTTGACAAATAAATTAATTTTTTGTGTTATTATATCTAAATCCCTCTTAAATATAATACCTTATGATTTGGCCTCTTTTAAAGACAAAAGATAATTTTATAATGTCTTGGAAAGTTTATATGAGAGCAACCTAATTGATAGTTTTGAAACAATTAAAAAGATTTTCGTTGAAGAGTGACTCATTTAAATTTTTTTGATGTTAAGATGACATGAATATACTATATTACACTTTATGTTAGTGATTTTTTTTTCTTTTTTTTTTTATTATTAGCATTTTTTTCCCTTAGAAGCACGTGTTAGGCATCCGGGGCGAAACTAGCTTTATTTTTAGATTAATGATTCTGTGCGGATCATGGATGGCATCCGGAGACTAATGAGAGCATGCCACGTCACTTTTTTTGCCGATGTACAGGATGTTTGTGACGTGAACTCATTTTTCTCCGATGTCCGCACATAATAATCTATGTTACTTTTGAGGGCGGATAAGGATGACCATCATTTGACAAACATAAATATGATGGGAGAAACAATGAGCGGCTGACTGAGTGAATTAGATCATGATTAGATGCATGCGAAGCTCTTCAAGATAGGGGGGAAAGTTTTAGGCATGGTAGCATCCAAGCTCCTGGCGAAAGGTTTTTCAATGATCGTTATCTGGCAAGCGCAAACGAGATTGATGAAAAAAAAAATAATTTCCTATAAATTAAATTTGAATTTTATTAATTTCATATAAAATTAAGAACTTTGAAGCCTATTCTGATATGTAAAATTAAGGGTGAAGCAAAGCATGGGAAAGTGAGATCTCTCTTCTTTGAGATCCAAATTGAGTGAGGGGAAAAATCAAAGAATTTTTTGGGGATGAGCTTATAAATCATTGAATTTATTTTGAATTTAGTATTTATCATCAACAATATTAAAACAAGCTGAATTCTATATCTTATAATTTCATTATAACAAAAAAGATTTATTAACAAGTGCAAGAAAAAAATTTTTATTTGAGATGGTCAGATGAATATGTTATAATTATTTTTGTTGTTGAATAATATTTATTTTAAATTTTATCACGATTAAAATTGATTATAATAATTTAATATAAATTTCCCCAAAAGAAAAAAAAATCCTTTGTTTATAGGAATTTAATCAATATTTCTCAAAAAAGATAATGAATATCCGATTGTCTTGTTTAAGATTCAAGATTTTGTATACTTACAATCAGATGTATACGGAAAAAGGAAATAATTTAGGAATAATTCTTTTTTTTATTATTATTTTTAAAAATACATACATTTTGGTTTAGGCAAACTTAAAAGTCAAACTAAACATTTTAATGAGACAAGCATGTTTATACTAAGAATAACTCCAATTTGACTACAATTGAGCCCAAACCGAGGACTTGAAGCATAATTAGAAAGTTTCGGTCAACGATTGGAGGGCGAATCGATCTCAAAACTTTGTATCAATCATCTTGATGAGATGAATCCAATGAGTCCAAATTTGCTTAATTTTGACATTATCAAAGCACTTGAATGCTGAAAGAATAACCACCGATGAAATTAATACGAGTCATCTTATCGGGTATTACATATACGAACTATAATTATGAGGCATCCCACTTTTCAAAATATACTACTATTGTTGAACTGTTGTTGGACT